GGTGATAAAATTAGCTTTTTTCTGATAAACATTCATCGGTAAACGATTATGTAAATAAGTACATACTTTAAAAAAAAAAATAGAATTCGTACGTTGCTTATTTTGAAATAAATACGTCACTTATTTTATTGTATGGGTTGTAAAAAATAACTAAATTTGCACGGGTTTACATGGCCGAAGGCCATGCATGCAAATTTAGTTATTTTATAACCCATATAATAAATATAGGGTATTTCACACCTTATACCGTACGGATCTGGTCATACTAATCTGTACAAGTACTACGATTAATGAAGCGATCTTTACTGTAATCATTTGAATTAAAATTTAATGAGAAATTAATTAATATATTGATTGATTATGTTCAATTGATTAAATAAGAAAAATTCTGAAGATACTTAATTGAAATATCAAGTGAAAACCTGTCATTATATGACGAAGAATTTTGTAGATCAATTTCGGTCATTAAAGATTTTTAGAGCTGTTAATGCAATACTGTATCGATATTATCTTCCACAAATGCTTTAGCCATGATGCAAGTCCATCGGAGACTATCTGAAGGCAGTTGACATTAAATTCATATTTGGTTGGTTCAATTCTGAAGGACGATAATAATGATAATAAAAAAGTATTGGAGACCTGGGTGATTCAACGGTATTCCTTGAGCAACCGAAGTATTCTATTGGCTAGAAGGATTGAGTGTGATGAAGACACCCACCACCAAACTCTTGCTGATATCATCTGAATATACATAACCGAATCAGTTGTTTTATGAAAAGCAAGCAAGGTTAAAGAAAAGTAAATCAAAGGAAAAACAACGCAAACGAGATATTTTTTATATATGATTCATTTTAATGGTGACAAAAAACTGTTAAAGTAATAAAAAATACAAGTTGAACGTTCGTTATGGTTAAACAAATCTCATACTATGTATAATATAGTGCTATGTGATGCAATATCGTGAAGTTTAAGTGCAGAATCACATACACCGTATACTTCGTATATAAAGTTTAGCATATATTCAGTAAACTTGATAGATAGAATCCACATAGGAATGCACTATTTAATTATGGAATTGAAAACCGATCATCTAAATATTTTTAAAAATACAACCTGAAAAATTTGGGAGGCTTTGATCATATATATATAATATAACATAACATTGATTGAAATAATAATCTACTGGTTAAAGAAATCAGAAATCGGTTTCTTTTTGATCTGCAAATTTCATGTGATCAATGCTCGTGTTATATAAAAATTTAATTCCCGATTTTGATTTTTAGGCTTACTTTTCAAATTTAAATATCTCGTTAATTTATTAATTTGAAACCAGCCAAGTGCATAAATGAGAGCCAAGACTTACGGATATGTATTACTTCATCATTTTGTTGACACAAGACTCGACAAATTTATTTTAAATTACCGACATATTCACTTTACCGACAAATTCTTTTTTAATTCCGAGGTATCAATTATCTGGGACATCAGGTGACGCCAATTTATTATTACAGTAAAGTTGGCAGGTAGGTTTTTTCGGATTTTAGGATTTTCGGACAAATAGTTTAGGATAGCTTCTAAAAATTAAGCTATATATCCGAAAATAGATAATTCTCCTTATTGATCTATATAATCACTACTATTAAAATTAAAGCGAATAAAAATTAAATCCTTACAATTAAATTATACAAAATATAATTCAATATCGTATTTAATTCTTAATTTATGTATAATGAATTCAAAGTATCGATAATTTCATTTCAAACCTTAAATCGGGTTAAGTGAAATAATCACTGTCATAGACGATCAGTAATTATTATTTTTTTTTCACAACAGTTATGTAAAATGGTCTCGATTTAGGGTTTGAAATGATATTTATCCGAAAAATTATTTAATATCGATGTTGTAGCAAATATTTGAATCGGTAGACGATGGATCAGAGATCAATGGATTCAGTTATCATTGGTCACTGCTTAAGATTTGGGTATTACTCGCTATTCTTACCAACTGTTTCTTGAATAGGATCCGGGAATATAAGTACTATTTATTTCCCACAACGGCGGGCATCGCCGGTCATCTGGGGACCAAAGGGCCCACAGCTGGGTGGAGATCTACCGGTTTATTCCCCGTAGCGGCGAAATAAGGGATTTCATGACGGAGTTTTATAACTCATAATCCTACTTTAATTAATAAAAAACCCCGAGCTTTTATCAATTCCCCGGAAGTCCGAGGAAATAACTTGCATTGATAAAACTCGGTTTTTTTTTACCGATTAAAGTAGTGATTATAAGTCATAAAACCCGTCATGCGATCATATAAAAACGTAGAATAACATTTTTTTTAGCAGGAGCACTAGGGTTTGTCTTTTTGAATGTAAGGTTTCGTCATTTTAAGTTTTAGGCTTCGACTTTCGTCCGAGGTTTTGTCTTTTGGGGGTTTAGGTTTCATCTTCCGTCATCATGTGAAAACGGTTTTGTCTAACAACTATAATAAGAAATATCTCAAAATTGATTAGAAAATGTCGAACAGTGATTCATAGTCCATTCACCATTCAAACGTTAACGGACCGGAACCCCTAAGCAGATCCTGAATCTGCGGATCTTATATTATTAATTATGGATTTTTACGATCTCACAGCAGATCCGAGTTGTATCCGAATTATTTGCGGACTATGTTTGTTCATGTTTGAAGTTAAAATTTGACATACAAATTCGTAAGCCTTATAAAAAAAAGTGTAGATTGTACGGGGTCTATGGCATAGTGATAGTCAAAGAATCAGTTTACACGTGTTTATCGTAATTGAATAAAATTTGGACTCTAAAACAAGTCGGATTCTGCATGTGTAACTTTACATAGATTCGCTAATCTTTTTCATCAAATTTCATTGCGTAAAGTCCGGTGTTACCATCTTAGAGAACTATCCTTTGCACGCGGCCGAGTTTAGTATATATTGTCATCAAATTAAGATTTACGTCAGATCGGAATTTATATACCAAATTTCATTAGAATTAAGGTGAAACCTATATTAGGATAAGGGTAGGAATTAACGGCATTATAATTAATTTGAACTTATTCGACGTAATATGGGATAGTTAACCTGCTTCAATAACGTAACTACCCTGATCGCGGGTTTACCCTTTCGCATTATAATTTCACGTATTCAAATTCTGAAATATATGGCTTTAAAAGAGCCTATATGATTATTTTTTTAAATAACTAAAAACGCATATATAGATATAAAATTGGCTAGAGTTGAATGAAGAGAAGTAAAAACCTTTCAAGACTTCGAAATGTCTTCAACAGATTCTAATTTTAGGCTCAGTAAATCTTTCTATACTGGCTTTTTTTTCACCATATCGACATTTCGAATTTTTTTTTTTTTTTTATTGTTATTTAAAGGCAATCTAAAATCTGCTCCAGCCTATAAAACGCCGCCGTTTTGCCAGGAATATCAATATAGTTCAATGATTGTATATAATACGTATGTACGTACGTATATATCTAATATCAGGTATGCACGTACGTACTGTACGTAGTAAATTTAATTTCCATTGGTTAGATTCTTAAAAGTATTATCTGTTATGAAACATATGAAACGTATAACGCACGTACGTACATACATACGTATTTAACATTAAGCAATAGATTTAAATTAGCCAATAAGAAGAAAGTTATCTTTACACGACTTATACGAACTTGGCGGGTTTTTACCACTAAAAGGTTTTATGTTAAACTAATAATTTGGATGGTAACACATAATTTACATGCCACAGTAAAGATTTTTTTTTTTCTTGTTCAAAGACGAATCGCTCCATAAGAGACGCAAATAAGCCAAGAACCTTTTACATTACTTATTTGCTACTCTATTTTTACTCTTTATTATTAAAAAAAATTTAAAATATTCTATATCAAAGTGAATAAGCGAATTATTATACATTAGAAAATGATTATATGTACGTACTTATAAAATACAAAAAAAGTAGGGCTGCATCAGGGTTGAAACATGAGTCAAGTACGATAAACATAGTTTTAAAAAAAAAAAAAAATTAAGAGGCAAAAACAATTGTCATAATTATATTATTATTATTCGAATACAGCAATTGGATTCTATCCAATTAATATAATCAAAAAACACCGTCCCAGCGTAAGTCTTATGATGAGTTTCTGATAATTATTGTTTTTCGTTTATGATAGTTTGGAGTGGGATTACTCAGTCGTCCAGTTGCTCTTTTACTTCGTGAATTTCTTGGTCGCGGAACGTTTCTAATAAAGTGGAGGAGAAAAAATAAATAAAAAGACATTAATTAAGTTAAAGCGTTTTAAAAAATACATTATTGCATATATTTTATCTAATATTTACCGAACGATTCCACTTCGTTTTGAGTTAATATCAGCTTCAGCTAGAGATCCGGAAATTATACTTATAAAAATGAAAGCGATAACAACGATAGCAATCCAAGAAAATCTAAATGTTAACATTTTTAAGGAATGTAAAAGATTTGACACTACAGTTAACGTGAGAATTTATTGCTTTTAAACCGTTATAAGGAGTGTAGGAATGAGGTATTTTATGGTAAGGCGAAGATAACAATGTTTCACGTTTTAAATAAATTCTACACTAGAACCTTTAGTAGGATAGTGTTGTTGAGTAGAGTATCTTGGCCACACAAAAAATTGAAAGCATCATGTTCATTTTATACTTTATATTGTACTAGCCATGTTAATCCTTAAACTAAAAAAAAACAAATATTCGATACTTAATTAAATTCATTGTTTCACGACGCATCTTCGATTATTGGATCTACATAAGAAAATAATCACAAGTTACTAATTATAACAATAAAAGTATTGGTTAAGTATATGCCAATATAATGCATTTTATATAATAAATACGTATTTTGTGTAAATGAATATTTGATCAATTTTTAAAAATAACCAATAAATGTAAAAATTAAGCCTTAAAGTTTTCGTGCTATCCAAAATTTTATCAGCTAAAAATATTACCAATTAAAAATTTTTGCTTAAAAGTTACACAGCCACCACTTTACCAAGAAACCCATGCACCAAGAAGCCAAGAAAATTTAATAATTTAAAATTTTTTTTACACAAATTTTATTTAATACAGGTTTAACATTCTTAAATTTTATGAATTTTACGTACTTAGGTACATATGTACAGTATATGTGTTGTATTGAGACCGAATTTTATTTTTATACAATAAATCTGATAAAAAAAACTCAAATTTATATATACGCAATTAATATCGTTCATTAAATTAAGAAATTTCTGAATTACATTGTTAATCATATTCTAGTCTTTTATTGTTAAGCGCTAATATTCATATTATGTACTATAAATAAAATTTTATCTTATCCTAAACAGTATACTTTCTGACGCAGATTTTATAAACATCGTGTAAGCACATTATCATAAACTAAACGATCATGTATGATCATATATTTGTGTAGTATTAGATCATAAATAATTACTGTTTAACGTTAACGTTAATATTGGAGTACAGGTTTTAAATTTATATCGAACCTTTGTTATACAGTGTTTCATAATTATCCGAATAATACAAATATAGCGTAGTTTCCCGAAATTCCCGATTTTCATTATGAAAATTTATTTCAATGATTTATCTTTTCCTTTTCTTATATATTGATACTATATATGTACGTAACGTAACTATTCGAAGATTTATTCATATTCGAAAGTAATTATTTTGGTATCTTGCTTTGAAACTTGTGAAAGTTTGTAAGTCATTGGTTTTTTATCTACAAAAATAATCGATAATTTTCCAATTATCATAATTAAGCGAGCGTAATAGTAGCTACTAAAATAACGTTAACGTTAATGAATTTGTAAATCCTACATTCTAAACAATTCAGTTCAAATACATTGTTTTTTTTGTTTTTTTTTTTATTTGTTCGAATAATTTTGAGCCTAAAATTCAATTGAGTCTTAAAATTCGGATTTAAAATTCCATGGTGCTATATAGAAACTAACTTATCGTAAAGGTTCATTTTAGAACCTAAAAAGGATAAAATTTTCTATGGAATTTGATAATTTTACTTCCCCTAAGATTGAAAAAAATTTGTTAATCTCCACATCCCTTACTTGTCTTACATCAAAATTTACAGCATCAACAAATTCGTGTTAATTAATAGTTCCATTTTCTCCCACAGGCTTCTGAAAAGGAGAGCGGTACATCTGTACGCGCAATTTAACTCCTGTCATTACTTAAAACATGTCATTGGCATCATCTCTCATTTAAACAAAGTTCGAGTATTATTATCGTTAGCTTAGCAAAATTAATTAAAATTATTTGTTATGATATCGAGTTAAATTCGGGCTTTGTTCGATAAAAAAATTTTTAATATAACATTGAGAACATCATCTAGTACGTAAAAAAATCCTCCCATCATGTTTTACATGTCGTGCTGCCCCAACTTATTAAACTGCCATGCGAATATCCTCCCCTTTTCAAATCATTTCTGTTTTAGTTTCTAGTGACAATATTTGCATATTTTAGTCTTATGATCGAATACTTAGTTATTCCTTATTCGGAATCAATTTACTTTCGTAACAATTGCGTTCATTCATATAGGGCTTGATGCACGGAGTTGTAATTTTATAGGCACGGGTGTGAGCCTAAATCGTCACATGAAATGACCAGAGAAAACATAGTAGAAGATCCATTTGATTGGTTGTTGATCCTTAAAATTTCGTTGGCTGTTTATAATAAGTGCTCTATATTCAATTATTGGGATAAATCATCAACTAATCTAATTATATCTGATTAATTTTCCAAAAGCAAGCAATATCGAAGTAGAAAGTCATAAATTTGTATAATAAAAGTTGCCGAAATTGAAAGAAAATTTGTTCTTCGATGTTAATGTTATTTGCTTTGACAAATTTAATCAAATATAATCAACTTCATAAATGATTTATTATATGTCATAGCGTTACTATGATGATCGACAACCAATCATATTACGTACGTACGTACGTGCGTAAATTACAGATTATTTAGCATCACATCTCGCTTCCATGTGGCTATTTTCATGCCCCGATCCCAGTTCCGTATTCGGAAGGCACTGTATTCATGCCCAATGCATTGCATATAAACTTTCTAATAGCATACAGCAATTGCATTTAATGCATAATTACAACATGAACAGAATATGTTCCGGATAATAGCAATTGAAATTGCATCAGACCGTTGTTTCCTGCTGTGCAAAGTAGGGATGGCTATCAATATCAAAATACGCAGTCGCTATGAAAATGTTGAAAGGAGTGACATTGTCGTGAATGTGTAGTGCATCTTATTATCTAATTGGTGATAGACTGCATAAAGAATTAATTCTATCAAGGGTTATCAATTAAATATATATAGTATATAATTACCAAATGTGGAAGCTTTGTTCGATTCGTGACGTAGACATGTTTCGTCCAAGATTCTACGTCATTACTTAGATACCGATCTGCTGCCTCAAAAAAAAAAATAGAACACATTCAATAAAAAAAAAAAATCACATAAAAAAAGCAATAGAAGAAAATTCTAGTATTCAAGATCTTTCTGTATGGTCTTTATGCCATAAATATTTACTGAACGTGCCTGCCTGTTTAAGATAGTGATTAACATACGTATTATCAACGATACAACAATTGATTAAAGTGACGATTATTTATGTACTGTACATACTGTATAAGTGCGAAATAACGCCAGGGGCTTATTTTGAAAATGAGTCTTTAAAATAAGTCTCGAATTAGAGGTCATGGGCGTACGAATTAACACGCATCCTAATGTAGCACATAATTTATTGTTACGTTAAATGATATGCAGTCGATACCGATACTCCATATGCGCAACTCTATAAGTGCATATCACATGCACTTTCTCTATAACAGTAATGATGTACACTCTATAAATGCACTAATTATTTAATATATATATATATTACTGTATATATGTGGTTTTATCACAGAATCCCGACGCCCAAATCCCACATACAAAACAAATCCTGATAGTACAAAATTCGTCAAGTAAAAATCCCAACACACAAAATCCTGAAAACACTATATTTTCGGGATTTTAAGTGTATTACTGTATCTGGATTTGAATGTCGGTATTCTGTGTAAACTCTTATATTGATTTAGAAAACCTTCTCTTATTTCGAAATAGCGCACATGGGCGTATTCGAAATAACGCGCGGGTTGGCGTTATTTTGCGCTTATATAGTATGTGCATACAGTACGTATAATATTTACCTATTGTCACGATCGAAAATGGAGGGATCAACGATGCTGGTAGAATTGGCACAATCGGAAGACTAAGTTTATGTGTGATATATAAGTATATAAAGAAGATCAGTCATAATTAGCATATAGTAGAAAGCGATGTATTTATATAGGATAGATTGATATCATACAATGTACTTACCCAGAAAATCCACGCTCTTTTGAGTGGGGTTATTTTGCCGCATCACATTTGATGGTGACTGTAACCCGTGGTATACAGACTTACCCAGATAATTCAAGGAAAAGCAGAAGACACAAAAGTAACTGTAGGGATGTTACGGTCCATCCTGGTCCGGTCTTGTTCCTAAAGATCGGTCCTACCAGAGGACCGCAGACTGCAGGGCCGGTCCATAAATCTACCTATTGGTTGGTTTTCAAATAAGCCATGTGGTTTTAATGATCGCTGCATATAAAAAAGTTCTTACAGTTATCATCATAAATCCTGGAACAATTGAAAAAATTACTAATGACCTAGTGATGCATCACTAGAATGACTGAATCGACAAGTTACTGAGTCAAAAATCAATTAGTTACTAAATTAGGCCGACATTGGAAACTTATGGATACAGTCATCCACATTTTTTTTTTTTTTAGCCAGTGAGATCATTCTATAAGCTATGGACTGGCCCAGATCGGTCCTCAATTGAGGACTGAAATGACCGGTCCGGACCATGACCCCTGCAGGACCGTAGCATTTCTAAGAAATTGAGATTGTTATGCTATCTTACAGGTTCAAAGAGGACCAACGTACCGAGTCCAAAGGAAAGAACTAATATTTCTGGGTTATATAACCTTGACCGACATATCGTTAGAGTATACGATATCTTATGATTTACAAACATAGTGAAGATCATTATATAAATTTGAATAATGATTTTTTGCAGATCACTCTTAACAGAAAAAAACATATAAATTTTAAACGAATACGTAGAACTCATTAAATACTAAATGTATACAAACATATGTAATAAATTCCTTTTAGTAATCTCTTTAAAGTAATACGTAGAGCCTTTTATTTTTTATTTTTTTTTTTATAAAATTAATTAATTTGTAATTAGGTTTTGCCTTATTTCATATGAAAATAAAAAAAAGCGGCCCTATTACTTTAAAGAGATTACCAAATGGAATTTATTATATACGTATAATTTTGATTGCATGCATTAGTATTTAATGAGTTAAATTTTATATGTTAAGAGTGATAATTTGCAAAAAATCGTTAAAAAAATAAATGCCCGGTATAAGACAAGAACGAAAAAATATTGGTTACCTGAAGAAATAATAAAAAGAAAGAGAAAGTCGAACCAATAAACGCTGACTCAATAAATTAAAGATCAGTTCAATTAATGAACTCCAAAATTACACTATTAAAGTCAAAATTGGTTAGTAATCGGTCGAATAAGAATTAGAACAAAACGCAAAGAAAATCACTTATCTGGTTACGAGCTTCATAAATCTCATACACAACACCATACAAACGTGCATTCTGTTAAAAAAAAAAAAAAAAAATTAGCAAAAAAGTGGAAAGGCAAGAAATAAGATTCAAATCCAAAAGAAAAGGAAACCGTTCGAAGTTTACCAACACCGAAAACCTAAGGTTATAGATAAGAAGAGTTAGACCACCTACAGTATAACGAACAATCAAACAAGAATTAAAGCACCGAAGCCGTCCTAGTGTAGAAGAGAGTTAAACTAAAACCGGATAATTATACTTCCTAACGAGTTCAGATCACTTGAAAAAGAGAATACAAGAACATGCTAATGATAGAAAGATTGCCATCCTAGAATGATAGACGAAAGAGAAGGAAATTAGTAGACACAAAAAAAAAAGAAAAGTTCTGACAACCTACTCGAACCATGAAAGAGTGCATCAATAATGAAAACACTGAAGCCAGAAACATCAGAGTGACCGAAGAAGAGTTCCAAAGATTACATGCCCTTTGGAAGTACTACATGAAAATAGTAAAGACAGTCAAAAAGGAGAGTCCAATTGGTTAATAAATAGGAAATGAATGGAAAGAAAGAGATGTACTTACCCCAAAGTCTGCTCTACGAAGACCTGCTGGAAGAGAGATTTGGAGAAGTAAGAGGAAAATCAATTAAGAATGACAAAGAGGTAATATGCTTACCTGCTTTAACTATAAAAAAACACGGATAGAATTATGGCAAATCGGGTACAAATAGGATATCTTATTTAAAACTGTAATTTTATTGCCGGGTAGTAATCAATTGTAAATTAGATACCCGATTTGTACCGATTTCCCATCATTCTAACCTGTGCAAGGATCCATATATCGCAAACACTGCAATTGTGGACAATATGAACCAATGGACATGGATATTCGTGGACTACGCCCATATTGTCCTCATTTTGGGGGACACAACAAAAACGTGACTTATCTTCTTACCGGCACAATAATGATCGACACGAGCACCCAAATTTTAACGTGAATTTTAAATTTGCTTTTACTTTGAGCGAAAAATATCTTGGCAACCAGCCAACTAAATTTGATGAACCTTTTTTATTTTGATTCTACAGAGCGGTAGAATCATAATTTTTAAAAAAAAGCACATTGAAATTTAGTTAGCTGATTGCTTATGTATCTTTGTTCAAAGTCTTACCAATTCGATAAACTTTTTATTTTATTTTACAATACTATAGATTGAAATAAAAAGATTTTATCGAATTGGTTGGTTGGTTTTTGAGTTATCTTCACTTAAAGTTATATAAAAATTTTGCCGCAGCCATTATTTTAATAAGCGGTTTTAATTTTTGTAAAACTTTGAACGAAAATAACTCAACAACCGTTCGGATAAATTCGATGAAATTTTTCTATTTCGATTCTATAGTATTGTAAAATAAAATTAAAAAGTTCATCGAATTTGTTAAGTGGCTGCTGAGTTATCTTCGTTCGAAATTTTTTACAAATTTTAAAACATCTGTCAATAATGGCTGTGGCAAATTTTAATATTAGGCGAGACCAATTTAATTCGGTGGTTTACGTTACCCCCTCTTCTGCCTTCCCCCCTCACTATATATGCGGAAAATTTCGGAAATTTTTTATAATATCGCGGATCATTTCGGAAAAAATTTATAATAAACTCCCTCCAGCTCCCTCCCCCCTTTTGTAACGTAAACCACCGAATTAAATTGGTCTCGCCTTACTTTGAGCGAAGATAACATGATAACCAGCAAACTAAATTCAATGAAATTTCTTTATTTTTATTTTACAATACTGTAGAGAGATAACTTTGTAACCATGGTTACTGTAACCGCATCCAATAAAACCAATCAAAATTTAAGATCAGGTGTAACGTGAAATCAAAACAAAAATTGGTTTTTTAAAAGAAATCATCAATAACACAAAATTTTGACTATGAAACCATATTTTACATCCTAACAAAAAAAATTCCTTGCTAAATTTTGATATAGATTATGCCCTTTCCCATTCCTAGCCTTATCTTAATTCCAACCTTAATTGCAAAGTTTTATTTTTATAAAAAAAAATTGTTACACCTGATTAGGGATGAGTTCGGTCACGAATGGTCAAAATTTTCATAGCCAATTTGCTAAATACTGAGATGATTTTTTACTTTTGAGCTTTTAATTAAAGTTGTTCAG